TGAAGTCGAAATGAAGAGAGAGAGAGGAAATACCAAAGAAATAAGAAAAACGGCGTCGTTGAGGATAAGATATAGTTTCTACAGTAAAACGCCTCTTCACTCTTTTTATATATGTAGGATAAGTTAATAATTTGTTTAAATTATAAATATAATTGACTATAATATTTTATTAAAATACGACTATATTGTTGCTTTTCTTCAAAATTTAAATCTAGTTGGATCTCCTCTCTAATTTTTCTTATTGCATTTAAAAGTTTTGGGGTCGAATTCTCGAATTGCAATAAAAAATTATAAAATAGTGTTGATGCTTTGAATATTTTCTTGCACATAACAAACTCCCAAGTTATTCATCTTTCTAAGCTTCATCATCAGGATTTTCTGTAATGTAGTAACAATTTCTTCTAAACTTGAAACCTCTTAACTTGGATCATTTTCATCAACATTATCCAAAAGGAAATTTACATCCATTCTATCCGATAACCTAAATATTTGATTATCATCTCAAGTTATGAATGGCTTTTTCATCTAATGATGATTTCTATTGGATTGTATCGAAAGGTCCAATGAATTGGGATTTCCATATTTGTCTACCAGATCATTTAATGTCCAAGCAAAGTTGCAAGATTGATTGCACCTAAAATATTGTTAGAATTTGGGTGTGATCCGAATTCTTTGTTAAAGTAATTGAAGAATTCTAATTGAAATGAGCATTGAGAGGAATTTAGTTTGGAAAACTTTTGGAGTGTTATTCAAGTTGAAATTCTATTTGGAAACCCTATTGGGAGTTTGGCTTGGAAAACGACTTTGAGATGAAGAAAACAACTAGAAGAAAAAAAGAAGAAAGGGTAGAACGCCCGGTGTTGTTGGCACCACCTGTCTGTTCCTTTCTTTTTTGACCTTTTTTCATTTTGGATTCGATTTTTTTGGCATCATACTTCATAAACAACTCTAGTAGGAGGGTTTGTACGCCCCCTACATGTTTCCTATAAATATTAGGTTTTTCTATACAATTTCATAGTGTAAGAAATGCGATTACTAGTTTTTAGGATCATTGTAATATTTATTTATCTTCATTATTTGTGATGTAATAAAATCTCATAATTCATTTACCATATTTTCTTATTTTCTTTTATTCTTTTGCTTGTGATCAAATATTTCATTATTATGCCATATAATTTCAACATCTTAATCCGATGGTTGGTTTCATATCAAGTAGTATCGAGTAATACGTGATCCTTGAATTCCTAATAATTGGTATCAGAGATTTTGGGCATAATTAACGCAACAAGTGGTATCAGAGTCTAGGTTCAGCAGTTCCGCAAGAGCGCGGGGTTTGATTTGTTTGAGGTTTTTGTTCGTGATGGCTTTTATGAAGTATGATATTCTGTTTTTTGATCGGAGTACTAAATTTTCGTAATGACAGGTTAAGATGCGTGCAGTACTCGTACAACAAGATTTGGAAGATGCGTTGCTGAAAATTGACAAGATGTCCGCAATTTTGACCGCATAGGAGAAATTACGAAAGAGAAGAAGACAGTTTCTCACATTCATCTTCATCTATCAAATACCATTCTGTTGGACGTTTTGAAGGAGAGTTCAGCAGCTACTTTATGGTTAAAGTTGGAGCAATTGTACATGACTAAAAATCTGACAAGCAAGTTGCATCTCAAGCAGCGTTTATACTCTCATCGAATGACAGAAGGATGATTATTGGAAGATCACCTGTCTATATTTAAAAAGATAGTCGCTGATTTGAAAACTTTGGAAGTAAAGTACGATGAAGAAGATTTGGCCTTGATCATATTGTGTTCATTACCCGCTTCGTTTTCTTCATTTAGAGATACGATCTGTATAGTCGTGACACTCTCACCATAGAGAAGGTGTATGGTGCTTTGTTTTCAAAAGATAAGATGAAGCATCCGGTGTCTGATGCCAGAGATGGAGAAAACATTATTGCTCATGGTGGTTCTGGAAAAGGTAGATCAAAGTCTAAGTTTAGTAATCAGATTTGTA